AGTGATCAAATGGCCACCATTGTCCCAAACAAGCAGTTATATACAGGTAGTCATTGACTTATGATCACAACTGGGACCAAAATTTCCACTGTTAAGCAAGGTGGATTATTGAATTGCATATGCCCAAATTTACAACCTGTTTTTGCCATGGCCATTAAGTGAATCGTTACAGTTGTTAAGTGAATCTGGCTCCTGCCATTGATTTTGCTTCTTGGAAGTGAACTGGAAAGCTGCTGTTTGGTTAGAAATCCTTGAGTGTATTCTAAAAACAATCACATGACGTCAGGACACTGCAACCATCATAAATACATGCCGGTTGCCAAGCACCCAAATTTTGATCATGTAACCATGGGGATGGTCTGATGGTCTAAGAGCGAGGTCCATTATGAGTCACTTTTTTCAGTGCCATTATAACTTCAGTCACTAAACGAATAGTTATAAGTTGAGGACTACTTGCAATAACTCCACATCTCTTTTCATCCGGAAAAGAAACAGAGGATTCAAGCTCCTGTTCAATCATGGCATCAAGAAACATCCCTGACAGCCCCTCAAAACGGTACAGGTTTTGGTTAGCAATTAAAGTCAAGTAAAAATTGTAAATCCTAGCTCAGTGAAATAATGGTGGTGACGGCTACAATCTTTCAAGATTCTATAACATCTCCTCTAAAAAACATCTCCCTACTTCTCAACTGAATATATTACCAACATTAGAGAGAACTCCTCAGTTTAACTAATGCTCCATGCAAAATCATACTTACTTCTATATGTTCTTTACAGTATTCCAAACCGATGTCACTTAGTATCTTTTTCACAGTTTTCCGGGCTTTTCTTAAACTGCCAAGATTGTTGACAGGAAGCTGGAACATAGTTTCTAATAGAAGGAAAATGAGAAACTAATTTAATGAAAACGTTTTATTTAAAGTAGCTTAACTCAAAGTAACAAGAAACATTTGATATCACTGTTTTTTTTATTATACACGTTGCATTCTTGTTTTCTTGGTAGTTTCACAAATCAAAAGAAAACAGATTGTTCATTACATTTTGCTTTGTAAGATGAACCTGGAAACTGATTGCCTTTAAATATAAAAACATAAATACAAAAAAAAGAGATCATGATGCCTAGATTTGA